CTGGTGTGTCTCAGGCTAGCCCTCCCCCTTCGGTAGCCCCCCCTGTACAGCCTCCCTCCCCACAGTCTTCCTCGCCGCCTCCTGCAGGTGCTCCCTCTCGAGAGGTTGGTCCTGCGACTGTCCCTGTACAGGTCTCTGGTTCTGGGGGTGCTGGAGTTGGAGCTGAGCCGCGGGTTGCAGAGGACTCTTGTCTTCCTGGGACTGGTACTGGTCGTGCGGAGTCTGGGGGTGCTGGTGCGGAGTCTGGGGGTGCTGCGTCTGGGGGTGAGGGTGTCCCTTCGGTTTCTGGAGAGCCTGGGTCTGGAGCTGGTGTTGGTGCTGCCTCTGGGGGTGGTGTGCTTGGTGCTTCGGAGGTCGACTCTGGGGCTGCCGCTGCCCCGGACACTACTCCTTCCCCCCACCCCTACCCGACCAGGTTCCAGGCTCGTGTTCGCCGTGCTCGTGAGGAGCAGTTGGAGTTGGAGAGAGAGGAGAGAGAGTTGCAGCGGCTCGAGGAGCAGGAGCGACAGCAGCAGGAGCAGCAGCAGCCGCAGCAGCAGCAGCTGCCGTCTCCTCCTCCTGTCTCGGGTCTTCGGACCCTTGGTCTCCCCTCTCCCTCTCCTTCCTCCTCCCCCTCTCCTCCCGTCTCTGGTCCTCCGCTTCCTCCTCCTGACCCCTCTCCCGCTGTTTTCCCTCGTTCTCAGTCTTCGTTGTCTCCTCCTCCTTCTCAGACTTGGGCCTCTCGTCGCTCCCCTCGTGCTCGTCCCTCGTCTCCTGTTCCCTTCACTGACCTTCGTACAGCCTTCCTTTGTTCTCGTCCACCTCGTCCGTCTCCGTCTGTGCTTCCGTCTCCTCCTGAGTCGGCCCTCACTGTGTCGCTTCCTTCTCCTGTCACTGACTACTACCGCACGTACCGTCCTGTTCTCTCTCGTGTTCTTGCCTCTCTTGTTACCCACCCTCGTGCCTCTGTGTCCTCTGTGTCCGCTCTTACTGCCGCAGTCACTGACTTTGCCTCTACCCGCCGCCTTGACTTCGCCACCGCTCTTGTGGCTGCTCCTCCTTCCAGTCCTCTGGCCGTCGGGGGTGTGTCTGCCCTTGGCTGTGACGCCCTAGAGGACAGGCAGTTTGAGCTAGAGTTCCTGGCGGCCGCTTCCCCTCATCTCTGTGCCATGCTCCTCGCCCCTGAGGGTGACCCCGACGCCCTTGACATTCCGACTCCTCGCACTTACGCTGAGGCAGTGTCAGGGCCTTGGGCCTCTCAGTGGAGAGCTGCCATGGACGCAGAGATGGCCTCCTACAGATCCACAGGCACCTACGTCGATGAGGTTCCCCCTCCGGGGGCGAACGTAGTCGACGGCATGTGGATCTACAGGGTGAAGCGGCCACCGGGATCTCCTCCGGTCTTCAAGGCGCGCTACGTGGCTAGAGGTTTCAGTCAGCGCGAGGGAGTTGACTTCTTTCAGACCTTCTCCCCCACTCCGAAGATGACCACTCTTCGGGTGTTACTACACGTAGCAGCACAGAGAGACTACGAGTTACACTCTCTCGACTTCTCTACTGCTTTCCTTCAGGGCAGTCTTCACGAGGAGGTCTGGTTGCGTCGTCCCTCTGCCTTCACTGGCTCTTTCCCTCCTGGGACCCAGTGGAGGCTGAGGCGACCGGTTTACGGACTTCGTCAGGCTCCTCGTGAGTGGCACGACACCCTGCGTTCTACCCTGTCTGACCTTGGGTTCCAGCCGTCTTCTGCTGACCCGTCGCTGTTCGTTCGTCGTGGCCCCACACCTTTCTTTGTTCTGGTCTACGTTGACGACCTTGTTTTCGCCACCCCTGACAGGGTTGCTTTGGCACACGTGAAGTCCGAACTGCAGAAGAGACACACCTGCACTGATCTTGGTGAGCTGCGCCACTACCTTGGCCTGCAGATCACCAGGGACAGAGCTGCTCGCACCATTACACTTTCACAGTCGCACATGGTGCAGCAGGTCCTTCAGCGGTTCGGGCTTCAGCACTCCACAGTACAGCGCACACCTCTTGCTGTTGACCACAGACTCACTGGACCCTTTCCTGACGAGCCGTTCGAGCCTAGTGGTCCCTACGCTGAGCTTGTGGGTTGCCTCATGTACCTGATGACTTGTACTCGCCCGGACCTCGCCTTCCCTCTCAGCGTTCTTGCGCGCTTTGTTGCGCCAGGGAGACACCGTCCTGTTCACTGGACAGCAGCTGTGAGGGTGGCGAAGTACCTAGCGACGACGTCAGGCGTGGGGCTAGTTCTTGGAGGGCAGCAGTCTGTCGTACTTACTGGTCACTGTGACTCCTCTTACGCTGACGACGCTGAGACTCACAGGTCTACTCAAGGGTACTGTTTCAGCCTGGGTTCTGGAGCTGTTTCTTGGCGGTCCACGCGCTCCTCTTCGGTCTCGACCTCTACAGCTGAGGCTGAGATCTACGCTGGTGCCATGGCGGCACAGGAGCTGCGTTGGTTGACCTTCTTGCTCACCGACCTTGGTGAGCGGCCGAGCTCTGCACCGACCTTGTTCACTGACAACAAGGCGTCTATTCTCCTTTGTCGAGAGCCACGACTGGAGAGCAGAGTGAAGCACATTCACGTCAGGTACTTTCTTCTGCGAGAGTTGCAGAGGCGTGGACAGGCTCGCTTTGAGTTTGTGGAGTCCGAGGCCAACACTGCAGACATCTTCACCAAGGCGCTTCCGCCTTGTGACCACCAGAGGTGCTGTGTGCAGTTAGGCCTTGTTGACACTGGTTCTCGTGTTGCTTAGACTTGAGTGTACTGTTTACTTTGCTTTCTATATACCTCTGTTACTTCTTGGACTGGCCTTGTGGCCACTGTTGTTTGTGCTCAGACTGTGTGGTGACGTTGTGATCCACCCTGAGCTTTGTTTCTTGGACTGGTCTTGTGACCGTACTCGTTTGGTTCTGCTAGACACCCCTCACTTAGGCTATGGGGGTGTGTCAAATGTTGTAGCCTATAGTGAGGTTTGTCTTAGGGGGTACAAAACTTAGGGTTAGCTATATGTACCCCAACCAACATCAATGCATGATTCATTCCTCATCTTGACAGAATAGTATCAGTTAAAAGAATTGGGAAAATATATGGTAATTACTTTATGCCTTTTACCATAGAAAATAATGCGTTGGTCGGTTCGGTCAGTATGCACGCTTGTGTGCAGGTACAAGGCGGAGTTGAAACTGTTAAATCTCTCAAAATAAATGACATGGTCTAATTCCATTTAATATATAATGTGTATTTTAGTTATATTGGAAAAAATCAGGCACTCACGCGAGCATCAATGTTTTTACAAGGGTCAGCATGATATTTCTGCTGAACCAGGTAATTGTTCCATAAGCTTACATCTTAGTGGTTAAAGTGTTGTTATATAGAGATGTCGTTATAACATGCAGCGAGTAAATGTCGGTTTGGTGGATTGTCTTGTCTGTGAACAATGTTGGTCCCACCGTCAAGGTCATCGCAAGCGGACGAGAAATCTTCTCGCTTCAGGTTACAGTCTGGTGTTGGGGTTGGGCGTTTGTTTCTGGTGGTCCTCTGACGTTTGCCCCTCGAGTTCAGGTTCCACAACACTCGCTGGTCCCATTCGATTCCACTGTGGAGCGCTTTGGGAATGCTCAAACCAGGGCGTAATGTCTCCAAAGTGGCGGTTTCAGTAAGCGGCAGTTTTGGTTTCGATGTTCATGCCTCCTGAACGAGGTATAGCCCAGGGGTTATACGGCCTCCACCATTGTCCCTCCTCTTGTCTCCGACCAAACCGCTTTTCTTGGGGTCTGCAACTCAACTGTGCAGTGACCTAGTTGAGCGTGTCCAGATCCTGTAAATAAAATCACCCAGAGTGTGAAAATCGAGAACCAAACTGTGTTTCGTTTATCCAATATATTTGCTATTTTCCAGCCAAATACATAAAATTCAAGGGACGATTTCATTACTTTAAAAATGTTGGGTGTACCGTACCACAATAACTGATACGTGTGAAAGTGCTGTTTTACGAGCTACCCCTGGGCGTTTCGAGCTCGAGTCGGTACTTATGGCGTATCTAGGTTCGACGGTACACTACACCCTCCAATCACACAGTAGTCACGGCATTTTGTTTGAAGGGTTGCCTCCTGGCCGAGTGGGTGAGTGGTGGTGGTGGTGAGGCGAGGGGCGGGAAAAGCCAGGTGACGGGTGCAGCAGGGCGTGCAGTGCAGGGGGGTGGTTGAGGGGGAGAGGCGGAACGGGCCTGCGGGTGGAACCAACGACACGAGCCAGGCCAAGCCAAGCCAAGGGGCAGCAGCACGAGTGCTTGCCGCTGCCAAGCTAACCCACCCACCGGCGCTGAATGGAGGTGGTGATCTTGCCCTGCTTGCTTCCTTGGCTTCAGAATGGAATGCGTTCGATAACAGCTAGCAGAGAGTTGCTACAAAGCGATACTTCGCTCGCGATAACTGCTCCTTTCTTCGCCTATTAGGTTGACACACCATAGGCGAGTTTCCACCCATTACATGATCATAGTCCTTTCAGCTTAGAACACGCATTGCTTGCGGTTCTCACCAAGCAAATTTCCTAGCCTAAGCTGAAACCTGACTGGTTCTCTTTCAGGCACAGCCTTTTGCCATCCTCCACATTCCACCTCGGTCCGCGGGCATGGAAGTTACCGCTCTCACGTCCACTATATTTTTCTCGAGTAACCCACCCACGTCCGTCATTCGCTCATTTACTGATATTTAGGCTTCGCTCGGCGTGTCCAATTCAACATCCCATTCGTTTCTGACAGACTAACTCCGACTCGCACCAGTCAAACCTAAGCCTCGTTCAGTTTCTCATTTCGTGCTCGACCTAAACGGTTTGATTCTAACCTCGTGGCGCGCCCGCAGACCACCTTTGACCCCATCATTCTTTGATCCATGTAACCCTAACTAGTCACTTTATTGATTGCGAGTACCCGTTCCCAGCATCCATGTAAGTTATTCTCGCCGAGTAGTTTCCGCCTCCGCCGAGCTATATTTCCGCGATGCCGCGCCTAGAGGACGTTAAGATTCCCGCGAAGCTGCAAGCTCTGCTGGAAAAGGCTCCTCCGCCCGCGCCAGGAGCGCCGATCGGAAGCACGCTATTAGGCATCGGCGGATTCAGCTTCGGCGGAAGTGGCGGAGGATCGGCAGCTGCCGCGGGAACCGGTGGCGGAAGCGGAGGCGCAGGCGGAGTGACCCTCCCCCCGCGCCTCCCCGTGCATCAGCTGGGCGGGGTGAAGAACCGACTTAACTTACAGGTGCATCACGAGCAGTCGTCGTTCTCGCGTGCGACGTCGCAATCGTCGTCCGCGTCGTCGTCGTATGCGACAGCCCCTGCGAGCCAGGAGCAGCAGAGGTTACCAGTAGGGCCGCCGTCCGTGCTTCAGCAGCAGCATCTGCGCCCGCCTCCAGGCCTAGCCGCAGCGGTAGTTGCGGGAGTGGGTAGAGACTCGAGGGAAAGCAGAAGCAGCCTACGCGACGACGATAATGATTCCGACGCCGGCAGCGTGATCTTCTCCCCCGTTCCGCAACCCGCGCACTTGCGGAAAGCCGCTGCGCGGAAAAAGAAGAGCGCGGAGGCCGGCGCAGCTGCGACGGGCGTTGGGGCAGGAGGGGCGGGGATCGGGGGAGGAGGGGGAGCGGCGGGATCAGGAGCGGCAGGCGGTAGTAAGGAGAGTGGATCGAGTAGCAACACAGGTCCTTCGCATGGAAGCGCCAGCAATCAAGCCTCCCCCACTCTCTCCTCCCCTTCTAATGCGCTCTCTCCCCCCGGACTTGGCGCTACTTCTCTCGCCTCTAGCGCCTTCTCCTCCGCTTCCGCCTCCGCGTTTTCCTCCGCCACCAGCTCTGGCGGCGCTGACGTGGCGCCGTCACACAGCCAATCGGCGCGCAGCAGGCAGGGCGTGGCGTCGGGGAAGGGGGACGAGCAGGGGAAGGGGGGAGCGCCGTCGCAGTCCCCGCGGTATCATCCCCCCCGGCCCTCTCCGCCCAAACAGCAGCCGCAATCGCAGTCGCAACAGCAGGCGCAGCCACAGCAGCAGCAGCAACTGGAACGTTTTCAAAGGGCCAAAATGAGACAGCAGCAGCAGCAGCAACAGCAGCAACAACAACAGCAGCAGCAGTCACAGCAGGCTGGGATACCGTGGCTGAACCGAGACGGGGGTGACGGCGGCGCGGGGGAGGGAGAGTACGAGGAGGAAGAGGAGGGGGAAGAGGGCGAGGAGGAGGGGGAGGTGGCGGAGGTGGTGCGGCGGGCGCGCACACTGCCCAACTCCGCGCAGGAGAGCGGCGGAGTGCTGCACGCGCTCACCGTTGCGCTGCAGGCCGTGCAGGTGAGGCGTCGCGCTTGTCCCCCTGGAGATTCCTTCCCTCCTGCCCCTCCCTGCGCATGCCTCCTCTGCCCTCTCCAACCAGCTCTGATGCCACCTCCATTCACTCGGATCTGCGTTCTTGCTGCTCTGCTCCCCTTGCGGCTTCTCCCCTCCCAGTTGCCCTCACTCTGTCACATTTCCCCCTTCCCTCTACCCTCCCGCCTTTCCCTTCCCAACCCTTCCCCCCCCCCCCCCTCACAGGACGAGCAGCAGTACGATCCCTCTTCCGCCTCCCCCTACACCCCCTCGCGCCCCTCCCCGCCTCTCCGCAGCTCCAGCACGGGAAGCGCAGCCGCGCGCGCGCATCTCCCCTCCTCCTCCTCCGCCTCCTCCGCCGCTGGCGCGACCCGCGGGGATGGCGGCAGCGCTGCGGCCGCAGGGAGAGGCGGAACGGCGTTCCCTCTGTCCTCCTCCTGCAACTCAGTGCCGGGAAGAGCATTAGGGGCGTCAGGCGCAGCAGGGCCAGCGGGGGCAGCAGGGGCGTCAGGGGCAGGCGCGAGTGGCAGCAGTCGCAAGTCCAACCGTATGAAAACGTTCAGTGATGCATCTGCCAATGCGGGCCGGGAAGGGCTGGGCAGCGCAGGGGGCGCACGGGGGGCAGGGGGAGCAGGGGGGCCAGGGGGGCCGGGGGGAGCAGGGGGAGCAGGCAGCGGCGCATCTGCAGCAGCAGTGGGAGGAGGAGCAGAGGGATGGGAGAGCAGTGACGGCGGCGGCGGTGGGGGGTGGAGCGAAGCGAATGGGAACCCCATGGGGGAGGTGCCTATGCGACGCACTATGAGCAGCCCGCTCAAGAGAGAGTCTTCGCTGTCGTCGTGTGATGCGGCCAGTGTGGTGGGCAGCGTGTGCGGTAGTGTGGTGAGCAGCAGTGGCGGCAGGAGCAAGAGTGGGAAGAGCAAGGAGGAGAAGCTTGCAGGGCTGCCCATGCTGCCCCCTCCCCACGCCACGCAGATTGTCAAGGTGCGCTTGCAAGAGGGGGTTGCAAGGGAAGTTTCTGAGATGTGCTGACCCCACAGAGGAAGATTTTGTTCTAAAGGAGCTCTTGTTCTGTTTATTTTCTATTCTTTTTCAGCGTTTGAAGCTTAACCTGGTTCTCCCCTCCTCTTTTACCCTGCGGCCCACCCCTCCCTGTCCTCACCCCACCCCACCCCCATTCCCCTGCAGTGCACGTGGTGTGGCCAGAACCTGTCGCTCCCCAAGAAGCTCCCCACGCCCAAGAGTGGTGTGCAGAAGCTGCGCTGTGGAAAATGCCTCAAGGTCTGCAAATACCTGCCCTTTAACCCTGCTACCCCCGCCTCCCCACCGCCATCCCACTCCGCCCAACCCTCCCTCCCCACCTCCTCCCCCAGCTCTCTCCCCGCCTCCTCCCCCCCGTCCTTTCCCTTATCCGCTACGTCGTGTACTGTGGCGTCTGGGCAAGGGGCAGGGATGGGCGGAGGCGCGGGCAGGCAGGGGGGGGCGTATGGTGTGAGCGGGAGCGGGAACGGGAGCGGGTATGGGTATGCGGGGGAAGAGGAAGGGCGGTGGGGGGCGAATGCGAGGGATGGAGAGGGGTGGGAGGCAGGTGGAGGAGCTGGGATGGGAGGTCAAGCATATGGTGATGAAGGGGCTTATGGTGGGGATGGTGGTGGTAGTCCTTATGGGTATGGGGCGCAGAATGGGTATGGCGAGGGAGGGGGTTATGGTGGGGGCGAGGAGGGGACAGGTGGCGGGGAGTGGGAGGATGAGGATGGGGAGGCGGATTTTGGGTTTGAGGACCCATACCCTCCTGGAAACGCAGGGATGGCATACGGCCAGCAACAGCAGTGGCAGCAGCAGCAGCAGCAGCAGCAGCAGCAGCAGCAGCAGCAGCAGCAGCAGCAGCAGCAGCAGCAGCAGCAGCAGCAGCAGCAGCAGCAGCAGCAGCAGCAGCAGCAGCAGCAGCAGCAGCAGCAGCAGCAGCAGCAGCAGCAGCAGCAGCAGCAGCAGCAACAGCAACCGCAGAAGACAGGAGGAGCGGGCAGTGGGGGGCGCGTGGGCAGCACGGGGTTTCATAGGGTTCAGAGTGCAGGGGGGAGGGTGCAAGCCGTGGCTGTGGCAGCAGGCATGGTTCCTGACCAGAGCAGTCGACAGTTTGTTCGCGCTGGCAGCAGTGCTGCGGCGTACCAAGGGAACTTTGACCCTGGTGAGGGCGTAACCGGGGGAGGTGTATATGGCGAGGGGTATGGGGAGGAGGAATACGAGGAAGGGTTGACAGATGAGTACGGAGGGGGGTATGGTGGCATGGACGGGCAGGGATTTCACGGGGAAGCGGAAGAGGAAGTGGAGGAGGAGGAGGAGGAAATTGCAGATGGGGACGCGGGGGAGGAGGAGGAGGAAGAGGAGGAGGACATGTATGGGGATCTGGAAACAGAGCTAGAGGCAGCAGCCATGGCAGAAGCAGCAGGGGGCGCGTATAGCCAGTCCGCGTCTCCCTGTACTCCTGCCCGAGCCGGGCCAGGGAAAACTCGAGGAGGAGGGTTTGCATCAACCACTGGTGGTGCTGCTGCTGCTGGTGCTGGTGGTGGTGGGAGTGGCATGAGGAGCAAGGGGCAAGGGGCAGAGGGGAAGCGCATGGCACGGTGCATGACTATGAACGTGGTGAGTACTGCTGGTGGCTCTGGTGCTACAGCCGCTGCTGCCACAGCCACCACTCCTGGGCGGCACAAGGGCCCCCGGCACACGCGCAGTGGGAGCAGCAGCAGCAGCAGCGGCGCAGGGATGGCGGGGAACAGCGGCAGGTTCAAGAACCACGTGCAGAGCAGCCCGCCCGGGGGGGCCAACAACAGCGGCAGCAGCAACAACGGGGAGAGCCCGCCTAGCGGCTTCTACGGACAGGGTGCTGCTGGTGGTGCTGGTGGGGGTGCTGGTGGTGGGAGTGGAGGGGCAGGAGGGGTGAGCCGTGGGGGTATGACGAGGGCGCGCTCGTCTCTGGACCTGGAGGCGAAAGGCAGGCCGTTTCCGTCGTCCTCTTCCTCGGTCATCTCCGCTGTGTCGCCCCGTCGGCCCACCAGCAGAGGCGCCTCGTCCCTCATCTCCATGCCTGTGTCTGCCACTATTCCAGCCATGGGTCCCGGTGTGGGGCTTGGGCCTGGCTTTGGGTCTGGCCCCGCTGGTGCTGGTGCTGGTGTGGGTGTTGGTGGTGTGTTTCCCGGGTCTTCGTCCATGCCAGCAGCTACTGCCTCGTCATCGTTCCTGGCCGCTACACATCCCAGCCACGGCCGGGTGACTGCCAGGAGTAGCAACACAGCGGCAGCAGCGGCGGCGGCGGCAGCAGCAGCAGCAGCAGCAGCAGCAGGAGGAGGAGGGTTGCATCAGCAGCATGAGCCGTGGGGTCAAGGCAGACCGCCCCCCAATGGGGTCGTCACAGCGGCTGCTACTGCTGCTGCAGGGAAGGGCGCTGCTGCTGGTGCTGGTGGTGGTACTGGTACTGGTGTTCCAGGCAGAAGTGGGAAGGGGGGCGGAGGGAGCAGCAGTCGGGGCAATTCGAGCTGTTCGACAAGAAACGGGCAAGGAGGGGCAGTGGCGGGGGCAGGTGTGGGGGGCAGAGGGGAGGAGGCATACAGCAGGGGAGTGGTGGTGAACGGTGTTCCCATCTCAGATGCGCAGGTGCATGAGGCCGAGGCCATGGCAGGCCCTATTCACCCCGGCTCCTACTGGTGCGTGCTCGCTCCTTGCTCCCTCTCATTCATTCCCGTTCTGCTGCTCATGCTCATGCTCAGGCCCATGCTCATGCTCATGCTCATTCTCGTGCTCGTTAGCTCCTGTCTCTCTCTCTCCCACACACACATCTCCCCGTGAAGTCATGTCTTCTCATGTGTGCATGTGTCTCGTGTCCCTGTGCTCGCCCCCCTTCACACCGCCAGGTACGACGCTTATGCTGGCTTCTGGGGCATTATGGGGGGCCCGTGCCTTGGAGTCATCCCGGTAAGCCCTCTGCCATCCACTTCATCCTCCCTCTGCATTCCCTCGTGCACTCAACTGGTCTCTTCACCTATCAGTATTGCACATACTCCTCCATTTTCTCCCATCCCGTTTTTTCGCAAACGCCATCGCCCACTGGTTGTCTTCGCTCTCCTTCCCCCCATCCACCATCACCCACAACCCCCCTAAACCCCACTCACTGCCGCACCCATCACAGGCGAGCATATGGGCGGTGGCACACGCACCCATGCCGCAGGACTGCTGTGGGGGCACCACAGGTGTGGTGGTGAATGGGCGCGAGCTGACCCCACGAGACCTGACCATCCTCAAGGGGAGGGGGCTGCCCATGGTGCCGGGGTTCTACTCTCTCACCATTGATGGCGAGCTGCATGACGAGTCCACGGGGCGCCATATTAAGTCGCTCGGGAAACTCGCTCCCTCGTAAGTGCTGCTGCTGGTACTGCTGTTGCTGGTACTGTGCGTTGGTGGTGAGGGTGGTGGTGGTGGTGGTTGGGCAGTGGAAAACAGTGATGTCAGTCCCCTGCTGTTTTTCTTCCTTTTGTGTCTAATTGGCTTGCATCTTTTCTTGCTCTTCCCACATACATGCTGTCACGCCTGACGCTGCTTGATTTGCAGATTGGAGAGGCAACAACGGGGAGCGGGTATGTATGTGCCGAGTTGATTCGGTGTAATGAAGCTTTATAAAGGAAGCACAGTAACTACGTATGGTGATGTCACGGCGATTGTGTGCATAGAAATCGTGCATGCGCCATCATGGCAGCCGAGAATAGCTGATAATCTGACAATATGTTATTACACAGGAAGACAACATTCCTATGGGGAAGAGCAACATCACATGTGTGCGAGGTTGTAAGTTGCAACCGAGGTGAAAAAGGTTGCATATTGTAATTACGACTATCACTTGGCAATATTGATTGCGTGTTTCTGAAAGTTAATGAAAAATAGTGCGACTGTTTGTGACATTACGGAACAGCTGTCCATCGTCCCCGATCCCCAACCCAACCTCGGAATTCGGCCAACACGCGGCGGCCTCGCTCCATTCGACGCTGGCGCGTGCCTTATCCACGTTTCCCACGCTGCTTCCTTGACGGAGGAACTTTTCGAGCCACCGGATGTCGGTGAAAGAGTTTAATCCGACTCATCATCTCATCCGCTTGCCGGGGCAGCCATGACTTGTGCAGGAGTGCAAAGCGCTGCAATCGCTGGTCTCTGTTTCACGTGCGAGTACTTTTTTGTTGGCAGATCCTAGTCGATCTGGACTCGGAAGCTGCCCCCCAAACATACCTTTCTGTGCTGGTGTTGCTCTTGTCACGTGCCTCTAGCTTCCTTGTCAAACTCGCTCAACGACGTACCGGCAGGGTCACCCTGGAGCAAAAATGGAGGTGTATGTGAACATTTTTCGTATTTGTGTGTATAATTAGAGTATTGTGGGTTTCAGGTGTCGGGCCTAACCCGTACCTTAATTCCTGCTACAACTGCTTCACATCTGATCTCCGTCACCAGCACTTTCCGTGCTTACGAGTAACCACTGAATCAAGATCATACCTTTTCGTCCTAGTGGACACGGTTGCTAGGAGGGACAACCTTACCAGTTCCACCTAAAACTCTACGTATCCCTGAATTTTACCCATATCTTTAGCTGTCTCGGCGTTCATTCCCCTTCTCATCCTCCCCTCCTACAGCGTCTCATGCAAATCATCCCAACCACGCTCGACATGTCAATCAACCAGATCCACAGATAAACATTCACAATTTTCCGCTTCATCGCACATTTCAGCCTTCGCCTCAGCAAGCACTCCTGACGCCTTTCCCGTTACCAGATTGTTGCTTGCCCGATTTTGTGCTCGGAAACCTTCAAAATTTCCCTGCAGGTGCCCTTTGCGGCTCCTTTCGTGATATGCCGCGTCCACCTCCGCGTCGTCCCTCCGTATATTCGTGGCCGGCAGCGTTACAAAGAGCCCATCCTCTAATCCATGGTTCCGCCGCGACCCGCGTGGTGAAGTGTGAACAGCCTGGACTTCCACTTTTGACTTCCAAGCCTCTTCCTTTCAACTCGTCAAAATTCTTCCGGCATTTGAGGGGCAATTTTAGTCGTCGCGATGGCTCCTTCTCCCAACGACATCTCGTGCACTGTTCCTCTTGCTTCAACGCCCGCCGACCTTGGTTCCAGCGCGAAGCATCATCCTCAAGATGAAGCGACAAATGAAGAACGCGTCGCAAAGTCCGCATCCACTTCTGTCAGCGTTCCCGTGATGATGCCAGCTACGCCAACTTCCGCGTCCACTCGAAAAGACGATGTCAGTGTCTCCATCGGCGACACAGAAGTCACTGCCAGTGGCTCGGCGGAGGTCTCCATTCCTGCTGGCGACGCGGCGGAAAAAAAGGAGCGCGCGGATTCCGCCGAGGCAAGCCCCGGAATGGATAGCGGAAGCAAGAGCGGCAGCGTTGGGAGCAGGCCCGCCTCTGGCTCGCGGCATGGCAGAGACCGCGAGGGAAGCTTCAAGCGGAGAATCTTCGGAAGCTTCAGCAGCGCTGCGAGCAGCGATAATTGCAACCGCGACAGCGAAAACGGCGGTCAAGAAGCAGAATCCCGTCCCGAGCAACCGAAAATGGGCCACTCGCACTATTCGCACCGGTCTCCCTGGCTGCGCGCCGCGCTACTCGGCGCGAACGACGGACTCGTGTCCACCGCGTCGCTCATGATTGGCGTGGGAGCCGTGGAGGAAGACAAAAACACCATGGTGATATCCGGCCTCTCTGGGCTTGTTGCGGGCGCGTGCAGCATGGCTATTGGCGAGTACATCTCCGTGTTTGGACAGCGCGACACGGAAGAGGCGGACCTGCGGAAGGAGCGGGCGGAATTCGCGAAGGGCCCGGAGGCGTGCGCGCGGGAGCTGGAAGAGCTGACGCTGATTTATGTGGAGCGAGGGCTGTCATACGAATTGGCGCGCACTGTGGCCGTTGAGCTGCATAAAGGCGACCCCATCAGAGCGCACGCAAGGGACGAGCTGGGGATTGACATGGATGCGCTGTCGAGCCCTGGACAGGTACTGCCTCGTGCGTGTCTTGAAGCTATGATTGTCCGCACCTCTTTTGCTTTTGTTGCTGTTTGTCGTATGTCATCCCTGGCAAGCTCTGACATGTGGGATTTTCACCTCTTCGACCACCATGTTACACCTTTTACCGTCGAGCTCATTTACCAAGTCTCGCATTTCATGTATTACCCTCTCACCCTTCACATTTGCAGGCGGCCATTGTGTCAGCCATAGCGTTCACCATCGGAGGCCTGATTCCGCTGCTCTCTGGAGCATTCATTTCCAATTTCCCCACGCGGCTTACTGTCATGATTGTGGTTTCGACTATCACCTTCTTGATTTTTGGAGCCATTGGGGCCTGGCTGGGTGGTGCAAGAAAGTTCCGTGCTGCGTTACGTACCACAATTGGAGGCTGGCTAGCCATGGGCATCACGTATGCAGTGCTCAAGATCTTTGGGACAACAGGAGTTTGAGTATTACTAGTACCCAAGCTGTATATTATTGCGTGTTTTTGTATGTGTGCTCTTAATTCCGTTAGAATATGTATGAGTACCATCGCTTTTCCTCGGATCGAGGCCCCATGGGGGCTTGTTTTATTTGTTGCCATTTTCGGGTGGTGTACGAAATTTTGCTATAGCCTTGGGACCTAAACGTTGACAGTGTCCTCATATAGCTCAATAGTGGAGAACTCTACAAATATGGGTGGGGCTATATTGGCAGGTGGCATGCTCTGTTATGTTATTCTGTAAGAACCACTTCCCACCCAGAGACAATACCGCGTACCGGCTCTCAAAACATCGCTGTAACCCATTATCGCTACTGTCGTGTTGTGTCGTCAAGTTTTCGCTCACCCTCTCTTTTGATGACCCTGAATGTCGCAAATACGTCATTCATTCGTCGTGAACATTTCGCTTGTTTCTGTAACGGTTCATCAATTCAGGACCACGCCACTGTTTGCCACTGTCGAGTAGCAATATTGCGCTTCGGAACGGCCACTCCACAGAGGGAACAAGCTGGCCCCATACACAAGCCACACCATTTTCGTGGCGAACCGCATCGTGCTCCTCGCGGCTCGAAGGTTCACATTTCCGCTGCCCCGTGTACCCCCACCAGCTTTTGCCTGCCCTCCTTCACCTCCGCCGTGAGTGCGTCAAGAATTCGCCGGCGCGGGTGTTTCGGTTCGGAGTCGCATGGTTCCACCTTCCAACACACTTTGCCCATCGCCAACGGAGGGAGAAACACCAGTTCGCGAATTTCGGCAAGATTGTCTTACTGTATTCGCCCTCACGCTGTCGCGTGTGGTGTGGTCTGGTGCTTCTGCTTGCACGACTCGTCACGGCCTGAGCAATCGCAAATTCCCTCCTAGGGCCACCGTGCGTTTCTGGCTGAAAGCAGCACCACCATCGCTTATTGCCCGTAGGCCCACTTCCCTCCCCCGGCTCAGCTCGGCTGGTTTGGACCTTACTCGAAGGCACAAGATTTCAGGAGCAGAAACAGCCAGGCACATAGTAGGATTCTGTTTCCATAGAAGCAATTAGGCCCTGCCAGAAAGCCTCGTTGCGTTTACGTGTTGCATTCAAAGGTGATAACCGTCTCTTCAACTACTGTTTCTCTTTCTTTCTTTCAAAGCTCCTCGTCACTGCCCTTTGAGTGACGACTAGTTCGTCTCTGGTCGTGTCCTTCCTCCTTCGCCCTCAATCTTCCGCCCACAATTCCTCCGTTCAGCCTACACTTCTCCATCCTCCCTAATATTGCCTCTAGAGAAATGCGGCCGGGCTACGGCGTTCATACTTCCCGTTCGTTTTCCTGTAGGCACAGCTCCGTACCGTATTGATTGGACCCAGAAGGGTTGGATTCAGTGGATGCAGAACAACCGCTAAGATTTTGAAAAGGAAACCTCTATTCCTGCAGCATAGCCGGCTCGAGTAAATGGAACTACCGTCTCGTCGCAACCGGGAGCGCGCATCCTTTCACGAACCGCGTTCGCGTGCAGTCCCCGTGACCTCCGCCGCTGGAAGTCGTACCCATGGCGGCACTGCCTCGCCATGGCCTCTACTCCATGCTTCATCGTCACCTGCAACCGGAGTAACCGCGTCAGCATTACGAGCAGCAGCAGCAGTAGCATCCTCTCAACCAGCACGGGGACCCGCGCCAACGCGATTTCGTCAACGGCTCGGCTCGTCATGGGCGGTGCTCGCGCTTCTCCTGCTCCTTGCCGCGGCGCCGCACGTGGCCCTCGCAGGTGCGCCGCCTTGTGGTTGCTTCGTCGCTGCTAATCCGTTGACCTACCTGTCGAGAGACGCTCTGACTAGAGATGTATCCTAAAGCTGCATGTTCGATATGCTCACTGTTAGAAACCCACGTTCTCAAATGTCGTAACTTCGTGTATCTCACCAACGTTCCCCCTCGTCTGTGCTCCCCCGTGCGCCCGTTCCCCTGCATCTCCCATTTCATCCAACCCCGTTCCGACGCCCGATATCGGCAGACGGAACCCCCAGACGACTATTGCAGCAAATGCCGCCTCGTAAGTCACCGCTATCCAATATCATCTTGGCATTCAAACCCGTTTTCCCGTGCGCTCTATTCGTCTTTCTTTCTCCCCACGGCTCTATCCTAACTCGCCTTTCTGAACGAAGTTGAGATTCTAGCACTCACCCCTCTCTCCGGACACTCGGCTCCTCGAGAACTCGAGCACCCCATTCGCGTTGCGTTATGTGCGAGCCACGTATTCGTGCATGAAGGTCTTCGAAAGTCGCCACTGCGGCTTCACGGCTTAAGGCGTCCCCGCGTGTGCCCCTGCGCCCCTCACTGCAGAGTCGGAAATCATAATTGCGGCTGTGGCTGGGTCCGCGCTCGTGGTTACGCTCGTCGTTTGCGTCGTCCTCATCTGCTGCTGCTTCTCCTCGCGCAAGCAAGCAACCGCCGGTAAGACCCGCTGCCGCATTTGCAGAAGTTATCCCCTGCTAACGCCACCGTGTAAATCGTATTTACACTTCCTTCCGCGTTAAACGTGCTGGTGCGTTTTCTCACCTGCTTCTTGCTTTCGTGCCGCTCTGATTTTCGCGTTTGATTTCTACCCTGTTTCAGAGAAAGAAGGACAAAAGAAGAGCACCCAAAAGATCATCAGCGGGCCTGATGACGTGGCAGTGCCGTCGCTCTGTTTCAACGACATCCAAGTCGCGACGGACGGGTTCAGTGACGACGCCATCGTCGGCGGCGCGGGCCACACGACCGTGTATCGCGGGGAGGGGCCGAACGGCGAGCCGTGGGCGGTGAAGCGCGCCAAGCGCGTGACAGTATCGGGGTCGCACCTGTTCCGCAACGAGGTGGATTTCCTGTCGCAGATCAAGCACCCCAACATCGTGCCGCTCCTCTACTCCTGCGACGACAACAGCGAGCAGATCCTCGTTTTTGAGTACCTCGCTAACGGCCCGCTCTCCGTGTGGCTGCGCCCGCCGCCCGGGGACGAGCGCGCGGCGCTGACGTTCGAGCAGCGCGTGGACGCGGCGCTGGGCGTGGGCGAGGCGGTGCAGTACCTGCACTCGTTCAGCCGCCCCACCATCATCCACCGTGACATCAAGTCCGATACCATCCTGCTCGACGACCATCTCAAGGTGCGCCAGCACGCTGCTCCCCCCCCCCCTCCCCCTCCCTCCCCTCTCTCGTCTCTGGGCACTGCTCACTCCTGTGCCTCCATCGCTCTGCATCCAGCCGCTGGCCTGCATCCACGTTTTTTTTGAATGTGCATGAACTCGGAGCCAACTTCCTTCCTCGCCCTCCTCGCGCTCTCTGCGTGTGTGGCGTGCCGTGCAGGTCAAGCTGGGGGGTCTGGGGCTGCTGAAGCATCTGCCGGGGGAGGGAATGCGGCTGCGGGTGGCGCGCAAGAAGGGGTACCTGGACCCTGAGTACTTCCAGACCTTCAAAGTCACGCCCAGATGCGACGTCTACAGGTAACACTCCACTGCTCCTCTGCTCCACTGCTTTATCAGCACCACCTACCTTCTGCCTCTCCTCTTCCTCTTTCTGTCTTCAATCGTGCCATCCAGCTGCGTTTCCAACCACCTCTCTCCACCCCTCCCTGCCCCCGCTCACCGTGCAGCTTCGGAGTGGTGATGCTGGAGATGCTGACGGCCCTGCCGCCCATAGTGCAGGGCCTGCCGCGCTCCTCCCCCACAGCCGCGGACGCCAGCTTTGCGGGGGAGGCGCCCTCCCCCACTCCGCCCATGTCCCTGCCCCAGTGGGTGAGTGCTCTGCGCCCTGCACCATATGCCACGTGCCGTGTCCCCTGCGCCCTGCACCCTGTGCGCTGTTTTGTGCACCAGCCACATCTACCCCACTCACTCCCACCTGCCAGCGCTGCTCCTTCCCACACCATGCCGCTGCCACAATGCATCAAGAACCCAGATCAAAAGCATGCCCGCTTGTGCCTCAACCCCTTCCCCCTCTCTCCCCTCCCTCCCTGCTCCACTGCATGGCAGGCCCTGCCGCTGATCCAGGAGGACAGGGTAGAGGAGCTCGTGGATCCCCGCATGCCGCCAGGCTACCCCCGGGATTCCCTCGTGGCCTTCGCACGCATCGCAGCTGAATGCGTGGCACCGCTGCGCAAGGACCGCCCCGACATGCCACGTGTCACCTTCCTGTTGGCCGAGCTGAAGCGCCCGGTTGCGCTGCGGTCGGTGGCGTTTGCGCGGTTCTACACAGGCGACCATAAGGCTGTGCCCATCTCCCACTCCTCCTGATTCCTCCCACTCCCTGCCGCCTGCTAATCAACGACACCTTGCCGTACACCGTGTGCTGCGCACTGTGCTCCATGCACCATGCTCTGCGCCATGCCTTGCACTGTGCTGTGCACTGTGGCATGGACTGTTCTCCCTCTGCCAGTTAGCAGTCAAGCTGCCTTGACTGCCTCCTGTCCCTGATAGGCTGCTATCTCCCACCCCCTCCTCCTCTTCCTCCCTCACCCTCTCTGCACTCTTCCAAGCTCATCGTCACATACAGTGAACACCAGTGTCCCATCCTCTACTGCCGAGACTTGCCTTCCATAATGACACTGCATCTGCACTCCTGCCCTCCCTCCTCCGCCCCTCTCACCACCAGCCTCCCACCTACACCCTGCCCAGACCTGCCTGCGGTTCCCCTCCCTTCCACCGCCCACCTTCATCACCCTCCCGTACTCCTCTCTTGTAGCTTACCGTATCTTCTCCCAGATGCAGTGCTGTTGCGACGGGTATACCGGTACACGCAGCAACAGAGGCAGCATCTGCTGCAGTGGTGGGTGCACAGCAGTATACACAACCAGCAGCAGAGCTAGCCCTGGCGTGCCTATCCTCACTGGTAGGCATCATCTTGTGCTCTGCCTGCAAATAAGTGCACCTGCCATTCGCTGCCCCTGTGTGCTGCTGATCTAGTGTTATATTCTGTGTTCCAACTGGACATTTATTACAATTAACTTGAATTGCTTTGTTCAGAATGTGGGTGTCGGTTTGTAGAATGCCAAAAGTGCAAAGAACGTAAGGTGCATTCAAGACAAAGGTGACCCTCCCTCCCTTCCCAGCATGGATTTCAATACCGTAGTTGCAGATCGTGCAATATGCTATACATTATTCAACAATTTCAAACTGAAAAGAGTGCAATTGACCTGCACCCTACCCACCATCCACACAACAAACAACCATTTAGTCCTTGCAAGCACAGCAAGCCAAGAGCCTCCATCTTGCTGGTCAATTGGATTCGTTTGTTGCTTGAGTCAGTTTGTTTGTTTGTATTTTTTTTTTTTTTTACGGGTGTTACTGGTTTAAAATATTACAATGTAGCATAATTACGCAAGGAAAAGGAGTGGAAACGGGAAGAGAGGAGAAAAGGAGGAATAACGTGAGTAGAAAAAAAGAGAGATGAAGAAAGGAGGAGGGGAATAGGGGAAAAATGATAGGAGGAAGAAAAACAGGGAAGAAGGAAGAAAAAGCAGCACACACAACCCCAAGAAAACCCCAATAGCACACACATTTAAAACACCATCAAGCCATCCCATCAAAACACCCCAACTGCACTCCCATCGAACCAAACCTCCCCCCCTAAACCCACTCCCTAAACCCGCATGTCTACCAAGTATGGTGCATCCGCCCACGGAGCATCCCATCCCATCTCCTCCTCAACATCCTCCCGCTCCACCCAAACAGCCTCTGGGCCTCTCATCATCGACGCCGCGCGTAACAAGATCACACGCGCCTGAGCCCGTTGCAAAGCCACACCCACAGCCGCTTTGAGCGATCCGAGCAAATAAGCCGAGAAACCCTTTCCCGTAGCTCGCGCCGCCCCTTTCGTCTTTGCTATCTCGATCTGCGCGTCACCCTGCTTCTTAAGCCACCGTCCAAAACTCCCCCCCAAGCATCCCCATGTCTCAGCAATGAGTGGTGTGAACTGCACTCCCCTATGCCGCTGTAGAAGCGATTTGTAGTCCGCCGTCTTCCGCTTTTCTCTCTCTCTCGCGGCAAAACCCACCTTGCGACCAATCTGTCCATGGTGCTGCGCGGATAGCGAGATAGGATCTACCACACTAACCTCCAGCGCGTGCTCCTCCCCCTCCCTCAGTTTCCGAACCGCCACATCAACCCTCTTCCCTGGGAGCAACGTGTCGTCTTCCATGGTCACAATCCCACCCGCACCCTTAGCTATCTTCGCCACCACAAATTTAACCGCATCGTGAACCCGAGAAGGTGCATACTGATACTTGCAGCGAAGGGCATGATGCGGGTCAGAGGGATCAGCAAACTCAAACGCGCACTTGCCGGCCACTATCAGCTGCTGAATAGGGAGGCCTAGGCGCATGGACGCGCAGATGCTCCACTCGGCTGCGGTGAAGGTAGCCTCCTCGTGCGAAGGAACGGCAGAAACCCACGCCCCAGCCCCCGGGCCCTGAAGGGATGTCAAACGGGCCAGGGTGGCATCGTTGTGGGCCATGCCTCGAAGAGATTGGAGGCTCTCAACCGCCAGGCGACGGTGTTGTGTGGGGAAGAGCAGCATAGGCGGATCAGCGGTGCACAAGGCAAGGGGTGGCATCTCCTGCCGAACCGACTGTGGAAGCAGATCCACTGCTCTCGCAAACCAGGGGTCCAACAAGGTCGTAGCCTCGGGCGTGCGGAAAAACTCCTCAAACATCCGCTCCTCACCTGCCACCCCCAACCGAGCCACATCGCTCACTGCTTGGCACCAGCCACATGCATACGACAGAGGACTAAGGTCAGCCGCAGATCGAATGCCGAACCCCCCGAGTCTGGCAGGAAGGTGCAGCTGTAAACGAGCCATCTGGGACTTCCCCGAATCGTGATCCCAGGTACTATCTGGAAACAGCTCCTCGAAACAATCTTCCAGCTTCGTGTCCCAGTCCCGAAAAGCCTCCACAACCTCAGGTCGTGGAGGCATCGTCCGTGTGAGGTAGATCGGGCGCGCCGACACTGCGATCGCCAACAAATGGGCCAGGAAACGTCTCCCTTGTCCAGGAAGTTGTTATGAAGTATATGAAGCGTAACCAATATTGTGCACTCCACCTTCATGCTATATAAAAACACTTACCGGCAACTTACCGCAGCGGCTAATGTTGAAGTCCTGCAGAACACTACCAGGGAAGGCGAACTCCCGCAGGAAATGAAAAATTTTCGCGGAAGAACGGTAGTGTGCCTTGGGATTAGGAAAAGGTTGTTGCTTCACAACGGTAATATTCGGTGACTTACGGTGCTAGTGCTAGTGAGAAGCTGAGCATTCCACTTTTTAGCTCATAGTGTACTGAACCGTACAGTACCGCGTGATCAGGCGGGCAGACGTGGAAGGATGATCCCGGAGATGGGATGTGATGTGAGACTGACTTGGCAACGCACTGCAAACTAACCGAACCAAACCGTGTTCAATCCGATGGCACCTTCCTTCAAAAATCTGACATCCTCCCGTGCTCCCCATCCACCAAATCTGCACATTCACAGGATGACGAATTTCTTCATCGTCGCCACACCTTTCGCAACCCACGTAGCCACCCAACGGGACCTCGGGAACTACAAGGGTTGGCGAAGTCTAGTTCCCATCCACTCACGAACAGCTGACAGCAGAAGTTACCTGTTAAGCTCGCCAATTCGCCAAGCCATGACTGGAGCTTCCCCTTCTGGCGGATGATGGGTTTACAGCTGCTCCATCGCTCCTCTCTACCGCCGCTGCTGTCAGACCCAACCAGACAGATCTCGACTTCCCTCCCAACTCTTCTGCCAGCCGCCTCCTAAGCACTGGAGCGGCTAAATTCAGCAGCACGCTTCGGAATACGGATCGCGGCGGTTGGATGAGCGGAAGTTTTTCAGGCCACGTCACTAGATTTCGAAGTTCGTGTGTACACCCGCGTTTTTTTCTGGATGTTGAAACAGCATACGTGTCCCAAATTGAGGACATACTGGTTGGATAGTGTTTTAGTTGGCGGTCCAATCAATCGTTGGGGCTCATTTGGCGGTCCAATCAAACGTTGGGGCTCATTTGGCGGTCCAACCAGAGCTGATCTTCATGTTGTCGGCGATTCCTTATGATCCACAATTGTCCACGTAGTCCACGGTGGCATGTTTGGGACCACCTTCGGAGCCAGCAAAGCGAGAATTCTAGCCACTCACTGATTCCAAACCGCATCCCAACGGTCCGAAATTAGACATTCCACGCATCTTCAGTCTCTCTTCGTATTCCGGCTCGTCTTTTCGTGATTTTCAATCAGTTTCCGTAGCCTTCCTGGCACTTTTGCCAATCGAACTTGGCTTTCGATCGCGCTACCAGTTTCGACCCTTCACCATCTTCTCACGTCGACGCCGTTCAGCATTGCCGTGATCGTATGGTCAAATCGTGGAGCTTCATTACCTCGACCGTGGGAGTTCTTGCGACGTAGCGAAGCTACGCCGATCTGCATTGATTCCTCGACCTCGTCGCGACGCCAGCTACGACGTGGCTGAAGCGCCGTCGAACTCCCCGACTTGTGACGGTGAAGGTCAAATGTATCACCCTTTCACCACCACTCACCACAGAGCCTCCTCCCCCGGGTAAAGGTTTGGTAAAGGTTCGGTACAGGTATGGTAAAGGTTTTTTTTTTTTGGTACAGGTTGGTATTGGCTCTGTGGTGGGTCAGCACATGTTTCTTCACTTCGCAAAGTCGTTATTTCCGTTGCATGCCTTCTTCACTTCCGTATACTAACTATATGTTTTTTCTACACGCAGGAGTTAATGGAGGTTGCGAGGCGTTTCGAAGATTAGAGAGGATCAACGTCCTTTGGCGTCATTCCTTGCTTATGGCGGACAACGGAGGAGAAGCCCGACGGTTGGTGAAGGTGAAGGTTAAGAGTATCATTCTCACCCTTCACACTCCTGAGCCACCCCCCTGGTTGAGGTTAGGTACAGGTTCAGGTCTGGTAAAGGTCCCCCTAAGGTTTTTTGGTTGGTATTTGGCTCGTTCTTTCCACGTTTTTCTTCGTTTTGCATGTTTTTCAGTCCGACCTTTACTGATTCTCGTTTATTTCTCTACTTGCAGGTTTTATCCGAGGGTGTAATGCGTTTTCTGGGGGAGCAACATGTTTTGGCGTCCTGCCATGCTTCATGGCGGACAACAGTGGAGCATCTGCACGGCTGTTGAAGGTTGAATGTATCAACCACTCTTTCTTCACGCCACAGAGCCCCCCCCTTGGTTAAGGTTCAGGTTGGTAAAGGTGTTGGTAAAGGTCCCCCTAAGGTATTTTGGTTGGTACAGGTAGGCTCTGTGGCACTTGCATCTTTGCAGCACCGTCGGTTTCTGTATGCTTGGTTTACTGCTCATTTACTTACCTAGTTCCTTTGATATCCTTGCAGGTTCTATTCAAGCCACGCTTCAGATGGTGTCAGCGGAGCACCTCATGGCTAAGCTCCAAGGCGGGGTGAACGTACCTGCCAACAGCACCTGACAGGTGCCTCCTCTCTGTCCACCAGCAGTAAGTTTTCATCCCTTTTCGTTTTAGCCACTTGCTGCATTTTCGTTCGTTTGCCTTCATTGACTCGGTTTACTGACTCAAATTTCCTTCTTCACTTGGCAGGTTTGCTGCACCAAGGGATCTTAACAAGCCCACGAATCAGGATCCATGGGAGCACCATGGCCTGCTGAGGACCCTCTACTCTCAAGCTTTGCAAGGTAAGTTTCAATCATGAGCCTTTTCCAGTGCTTTCTTGCCTGAATGCTATTCGACTGGTACTCCACCCTTGCTGATTCTTTTTTCTGTCAGGTTGTGCTTCAACTCTACAGTCACTGACTTGTTTCATATTGCCTCATGGCAGGTTCTCCAAGCGCCATTTACACGCCATGGACCGCCAAGACCTTGCGCACCGCTGCACTCCAGCAAGCCCAAGATCCATGGGAGCACCATGGCATGCTCAAGCGCCTCAACGCTCAAGCTCTTCAACCTCAGATAAGTTTCATCCCGTACCTTTTCCTATGCGCAGGACCTCCTTTTCCTATGCGCATGGCTTTATTGTGTTTATTGATTTGCTTTCATGCATGCTGTTTTTTTGCCTTCCCTTTTTTACCATGGACTAATGTTTGTCTTTTTTCTGCCTGCAGGTGCCTTCATGGGCGGCAAGTCCCAGTGGGTGGCAAGCCATGGCGTGCTGAAGCGTCTCAACACTCAAGCACCGCTCCACACTTCAAGCTCCTATCCCACAGATAAGTTTCAGCCCCTACCTTCGAGCTCTCTTTTTCATGCACATCGCTGTATTTTGTTTGTTGATTTGCTTTGTTGCAAGCTGTATTTTTGCTTTCTCTTTTGGATCATGGACTAATCTTCATCTTTCTTCTGCCTGCAGGTGCCTTCATGGTCGGCAAGCCTGCAAGCCATGTGGCCAGTGCACAAGAGGGAGTGTGAAGCTTTGAGCATTGGCTGGGGACTCGATTCTGGGCCAAACCGGACTGGTTCTGTTCCCTCCCGCCCCCACCAAGTGACAAAGCTGTCTGGCCAGCAGTGATGTCATTTGGTGGAGGTGGGGGTGAGCAGAGCCAGTCCCTAGTAGGGCACCCGCACGTCTTGGTCCTGGCAATGCTTAAAGCTCATCATTCCTCTCTGCCTGTGCAGTGCACTGCCAGTCCATGCCGGGGTGGGCATGGATGGCATGCTGCCATGGAGTAGCTGTGGACCTGTGGTTGATAGGAGTAGACAGAAGCACTTTGGTTATGTATGTACCTCTGTATATTACTGGTAGTTATTTTTTAATAAGAATGTACTCTAGTGTAGGTTCTGTAGAGATACTAGTACTCTGGATAGGGAGTATAATTTCAATACGAGAAATGCCTATTTAAGTATTCTTCAAAAACATAATTCTAGACACATGTATAGTCCTGTTCCTTGGCCTGTATAATAAAAAACTGCAGATCACAATTGAGTGTCCTTGTGTGGTATTGCTGGAAAACCTCCACAACTTCTTTACAAAGTGAACAACGGGAAAGCACGAAATCGCATGTAACCGCAATGAAACGCAGTGCACCCTTAGGAAACACTCCCTTCGGTTATGCCCATCTGGTCTCGGCTCCGGCCAAGTAACAAACCAAAGAAGAATCAGTCAGACCAGACCTCATCCCAACAGCCTTCAACTTGGTGCGATTCATGTCCGTCGCATCGCATCTCTTAGAGCGGAAATCCTTATCCGTCCGAAGCAGAGGACGTGAAAGCAGAGGTCAGCTCGGCTTGCGTGGCGTCGCGTCCGAAGCCGAAGCGCCGTCGTGGGGATTAATCGTCATGATAGAGGAGATAACATGATGCGGGATGATGCGGGAAAGATAGATCGGGAGCGTCGTCGAGTGTGCCGTTGCCACCGCTTTTCAGCGTCATGCCATTCTTACCTCCCGTATCCTAAATGCACTTGATGCACTTGACGCACTCAACGGCTCAGTCCTTAGCCTCTCTTGACGGGATACGGCCTTGGTCCAAGCGACCTTCATTCGCAGGGTGATTGCTTCGACGGCGCTAGTTCTCCACACGCGAAGCCTCGAGTGCGCATTGGAAACACTCAACACCACGCACCTCGCGCCTTGCTACCTTCGCGCCGATTCTGTCCGCGCCGATTCTTTCCGCGCCGATTCTTTCCGCGCCGATTCTTTCCGCGCCGATTTTGTCCGCGCGCCTCCCACGACGCGCGCGACGGGCGACGAGGGCTGCGACGTCGCGAGGGCGTCGCCACGAGAGCGACCTCGTCGTCACCATCGGCAGCGCGCCTTCCACGTACCCGCTGTACGCGTTACTAGCCGTGATCCGTTTCACGTGCACCAGTACCCCCTTTACGGTTTGCTTTCTCCGTTTCTCAGTACGCGTTTACGCCCTTGCTACGCGTGGTCATGCGCTCTAGGAAATGCAACCACGCTTCACGGTTCAGACGCACTAAACTCTCCCTCCGCCTAGACTTTCCTCTCCTGTCTCCCTCCTTTCTCCTCCCTTCCCGTCCCTCCGCTAACCCTCCCTTCCCCTCCCCCCCTTCCAGCCTCTCCCTGTCAACGGTGATAGCGAGCGCGGCAGCAGCAGCGGGCGAGGGCGCGGGCCCCTGGCAAGCGGGCCTCTCGTTCCCCCCTGGCGGCGCGCTCTCCTTGGTCCCCATCGCCTGCCACTGCTACGCCCGCCCCTGCCGCCTCTCTCTCGCCCCACTCCCTGCTGCTCGTGCGCTCCGCAGGTACTGCTTGCCGGCAGTGGGGTGGGGCTTTGGGGGAGTGGGGATGCTGGAGTGGGGGAATGCGGGAGTGGGGGAATGCGGGAGTGGGGGGGTGCGGGAGTGGGGGGGTGCGGGAGTGGGGGATGGTGAGTTGTGAGCCACGCACTGCCACTGCCGCAGCGCAGCTGCCAACGCAGCGCCTGCACCACCTCCTGCGGCACTGCCCGCCCTGCCTGCACGTGCTGTCACCGTATGTCGGGAATGGGAAGGGGGGGGGGGGGGGGGAGGGATGGGATGGGATGGGATGGGATGGGATGGGGTGGGATGGGATGGGATGGGATGGGATGGGATGGGGTGGGATGGGATGGGATGGGATGGGATGGGATGGGATGGGATGGGATGGGATGGGATGGGATGGGATGGGATGGGATGGGATGGGATGGGATGGGATGGGATGGGATGGGATGGGATGGGATGGGATGGGATGGGATGGGATGGGATGGGATGGGATGGGATGGGATGGGATGGGATGGGATGGGATGGGGTGGGATGGGGTGAGATATGGAAAGGGGGATGTCCATACTGTGCCTTGGCATGTGATGCGCATCTGTCCGTTTCACATGCGTATGCCTCTTCATGTCCTTTCTCGTGTGGACTGTTGACAACTCCTCACCTCCTCTTGCATGCACGCCCGCACATTCCTTGCTCCTCTTTTCACCACTGCCTTCACTCTCATCCCCCACCTATCGCCTGCCACCAACCGTCTCCCATGTGCCGCCATGGTAATCTCCCATCCTAACAACCCCCGTCTTTCCCTCCTCACCTCAACTCTCTCTTCTTCCCCACCCCCCCCACACACACACATCAGCTGCAGCGTTCTGCCACCATCCAACGAAGCCAGGGCTGCACGGGCTGCTGCTGCTGACGCTGCTGCCTCTCTGCTCATCGCTCGCAGCAAAGGTACTAATTTCGTCGTCTAAGCATGTAGAGAAATCATATGCTCAGCTGGTACTCCCTCTCCTTCCACTCCTGCTGCGCATGGCACCCCATGCTGCTCCCACCCTTCTCCTGCCGTCCCGCTATGGCCCTAACTTATTCACCCCACGGTGTGTGGCAGGCGGCAGCCCTGCTTGCTGGCCACGCCGGAGGGGTGAAGGCAGCGAGTTGCCAGGCAGCAGGGCGCCCCTCCATGGCTGCACGCACCGACCGCTTCCCACACGCTCTTCCCATGACATGACATGAGTACCTCCGCTCCCCCTCCTCTGCCTCCTCCATCTCCTGCTTCTGTAGCTTCTTGCTTTCATGCACCTCACACCGCTCTAGCTGCCTGTAGCACACCCTAGGGCCCCCCAGGTGACAAGTAGCGACTCCAAGGTGAGGTATACCCGCCACAGCAAGGTATCCCTATGGGTGTGCGCATCAGGTGAGCTCATCCCCGCACCCTCATTCATGTATGCTTACTTTGGCATGTCCCTCTTTCCAGGGATGTGCCCTCTCTGCTTCCACTCACTTGCACTTGTTTCAACCCATCCTCCCTCCCCACCAGGTACTTCGGCTGTCCTCTCTGCCCTCCACTCCACGCTGCTTCTCTTGCTGCGCGGGCTGTCAGTGCCACTGGTGGACTGAGGAGCTCACGGCTGTGTGCAAGGTAAGACAGCAAGCCTCTCACCTCAGCCTTTCGTGGCTTTGCATTTGCTTCTCGCCTTTCGCTTGCTTTCTCGCTTTCTGCTTTAGCTGCACGTGCTGCTTGCCTTCCCTTGCTCATCCAGTTCTTCCACCTATTAGCTAACTTATTTCCTCTCCCCCTCCCCCCTCACAGGTGCCCCCTGGGGGTGGTGGTGGTTCTGGCTGATGCTGCCTGGTTCTGTTGTTGGTTGCGGTGGTTGTGGTGGCGGTGCGGTGGTTGCGGTGGTGGTGGCGGTGGTGGTGGGGGAGGCGGGGCGGCAGTGGGGGGTGTGAGTCAGTGTCAAGCCTGGATTCCAATAGCTGCGCGTTAAGGCATAATGGACCAACACCGGGGTCTGGTGGAGCTTCCCTCTTGCCACGTCGGGGAGGGTTCAGGTCCTGGGGCTGGCTCATGGCCTTACTCTGCATTGACCTTCCGTCCCCAACCCTCTGTCTCTCACTCTCCCATGTCTCTCTCTGCAGCACAAGCACTTCCTGTGTGCCACACTATCTGTGTGCTGCAGCACAAGCACTGCCTGTGTGCCACACTAGAGATTCGCTCAACTGCGTTGCTAGCACGCTCAACTGCGTTGCTAGCACGCTCAACTGCGTTGCTAGCACGCTCAACTGCGTTGCTAGCACGCTCAGCAGCGTTGCTAGCACGCTCAGCAGCGTTGCTAGCACGCTCAACTGCGTTGCTAGCACGCTCAACTGCGTTGCTAGCACGCTCAGCTGCGTTGCTAGCACGCTCAGCTGCGTTGCTAGCACGCTCAACTGCGTTGCTAGCACGCTCAACTGCGTTGCTAGCACGCTCAGCTGCGTTGCTAGCACGCTCAACTGCGTTGCTAGCACGCTCAACTGCGTTGCTAGCACGCTCAGCTGCGTTGCTAGCACGCTCAACTGCGTTGCTAGCACGCTCAACTGCGTTGCTAGCACGCTCAACTGCGTTGCTAGCACGCTCAGCAGCGTTGCTAGCACGCTCAGCAGCGTTGCTAGCACGCTCAGCAGCGTTGCTAGCACGCTCAGCAGCGTTGCTAGCACGCTCAGCTGCGTTGCTAGCACGCTCAGCTGCGTTGCTAGCACGCTCAGCTGCGTTGCTAGCACGCTCAGCAGCGTCTGCGTTGCTAGCACGCTCAGCAGCGTTGCTAGCACGCTCAACTGCGTTGCTAGCACGCTCAACTGCGTTGCTAGCACGCTCAACTGCGTTGCTAGCACGCTCAACTGCGTTGCTAGCACGCTCAACTGCGTTGCTAGCACGCTCAACTGCGTTGCTAGCACGCTCAGCTGCGTTGCTAGCACGCTCAACTGCGTTGCTAGCACGCTCAACTGCGTTGCTAGCACGCTCAACTGCGTTGCTAGCACGCTCAGCAGCGTTGCTAGCACGCGCAGCAGCGTTGCTAGCACGCTCAGCAGCGTTGCTAGCACGCTCAGCTGCGTTGCTAGCACGCTCAGCAGCGTCTGCGTTGCTAGCACGCTCAGCAGCGTTGCTAGCACGCTCAACTGCGTTGCTAGCACGCTCAACTGCGTTGCTAGCACGCTCAACTGCGTTGCTAGCACGCTCAACTGCGTTGCTAGCACGCTCAGCTGCGTTGCTAGCACGCTCAACTGCGTTGCTAGCACGCTCAACTGCGTTGCTAGCACGCTCAACTGCGTTGCTAGCACGCTCAACTGCGTTGCTAGCACGCTCAGCTGCGTTGCTAGCACGCTCAGCTGCGTTGCTAGCACGCTCAGCTGCGTTGCTAGCACGCTCTGCTGCGTTGCTAGCACGCTCAGCTGCGTTGCTAGCACGCTCTGCTGCGTTGCTAGCACGCTCAACTGCGTTGCTAGCACGCTCAGCTGCGTTGCTAGCACGCTCAGCTGCGTTGCTAGCACGCTCAACTGCGTTGCTAGCACGCTCAACTGCGTTGCTAGCACGCTCAACTGCGTTGCTAGCACGCTCAACTGCGTTGCTAGCACGCTCAGCAGCGTTGCTAGCACGCTCAGCTGCGTTGCTAGCACGCTCAGCTGCGTTGCTAGCACGCTCAGCTGCGTTGCTAGCACGCTCAGCTGCGTTGCTAGCACGCTCAGCAGCGTTGCTAGCACGCTCAGCTGCGTTGCTAGCACGCTCAGCTGCGTTGCTAGCACGCTCAGCTGCGTTGCTAGCACGCTCAGCTGCGTTGCTAGCACGCTCAGCTGCGTTGCTAGCACGCTCAACTGCGTTGCTAGCACGCTCTGCTGCGTTGCTAGCACGCTCAACTGCGTTGCTAGCACGCTCAGCTGCGTTGCTAGCACGCTCAGCTGCGTTGCTAGCACGCTCAACTGCGTTGCTAGCACGCTCAACTGCGTTGCTAGCACGCTCAACTGCGTTGCTAGCACGCTCAACTGCGTTGCTAGCACGCTCAGCAGCGTTGCTAGCACGCTCAGCTGCGTTGCTAGCACGCTCAGCTGCGTTGCTAGCACGCTCAGCTGCGTTGCTAGCACGCTCAGCTGCGTTGCTAGCACGCTCAGCTGCGTTGCTAGCACGCTCAACTGCGTTGCTAGCACGCTCAACTGCGTTGCTAGCACGCTCAGCTGCGTTGCTAGCACGCTCAGCTGCGTTGCTAGCACGCTCAGCAGCGTTGCTAGCACGCTCAACTGCGTTGCTAGCACGCTCAACTGCGTTGCTAGCACGCTCAGCTGCGTTGCTAGCACGCTCTGCTGCGTTGCTAGCACGCTCAGCTGCGTTGCTAGCACGCTCTGCTGCGTTGCTAGCACGCTCAACTGCGTTGCTAGCACGCTCAGCTGCGTTGCTAGCACGCTCAGCTGCGTTGCTAGCACGCTCAACTGCGTTGCTAGCACGCTCAACTGCGTTGCTAGCACGCTCAACTGCGTTGCTAGCACGCTCAACTGCGTTGCTAGCACGCTCAGCAGCGTTGCTAGCACGCTCAGCTGCGTTGCTAGCACGCTCAGCTGCGTTGCTAGCACGCTCAGCTGCGTTGCTAGCACGCTCAGCTGCGTTGCTAGCACGCTCAGCTGCGTTGCTAGCACGCTCAACTGCGTTGCTAGCACGCTCAGCTGCGTTGCTAGCACGCTCAGCTGCGTTGCTAGCACGCTCAGCTGCGTTGCTAGCACGCTCAGCTGCGTTGCTAGCACGCTCAGCTGCGTTGCTAGCACGCTCAGCTGCGTTGCTAGCACGCTCAGCTGCGTTGCTAGCATGCTCAGCAACGTTGCTAGCACGCGCAGCTGCTTTGCTAGCACGCTCAACTGCGTTGCTAGCACGCTCAACTGCGTTGCTAGCACGCTCAACTGCGTTGCTAGCACGCTCAACTGCGTTGCTAGCACGCTCAACTGCGTTGCTAGCACGCTCAGCAGCGTTGCTAGCACGCTCAACTGCGTTGCTAGCACGCTCAACTGCGTTGCTAGATGGCTCAGCTGCGTTGCTAGCATGCTCAGCAGCGTTGCTACCACGGTCAGCTGCGTTGCTAGCACGCTCAGCTGCGTTGCTAGCACGCTCTGCTGCGTTGCTAGCACGCTCAACTGCGTTGCTAGCACGCTCAGCTGCGTTGCTAGCACGCTCAGCTGCGTTGCTAGCACGCTCAGCTGCGTTGCTAGCACGCTCAGCTGCGTTGCTAGCACGCTCAGCTGCGTTGCTAGCACGCTCAGCTGCGTTGCTAGCACGCTCAGCAGCGTTGCTAGCACGCTCAACTGCGTTGCTAGCACGCTCAACTGCGTTGCTAGCACGCTCAACTGCGTTGCTAGCACGCTCAGCAGCGTTGCTAGCACGCTCAACTGCGTTGCTAGCGTTGCTAGCACGCTCAGCTGCGTTGCTAGCACGCTCAGCAGCGTTGCTAGCACGCTCAGCTGCGTTGCTAGCACGCTCAGCTGCGTTGCTAGCACGCTCAGCTGCGTTGCTAGCACGCTCAGCTGCGTTGCTAGCACGCTCAGCTGCGTTGCTAGCACGCTCAACTGCGTTGCTAGCACGCTCAACTGCGTTGCTAGCACGCTCAGCTGCGTTGCTAGCACGCTCAGCTGCGTTGCTAGCACGCTCAGCTGCGTTGCTAGCACGCTCAGCTGCGTTGCTAGCACGCTCAGCTGCGTTGCTAGCACGCTCAGCTGCGTTGCTAGCATGCTCAGCAACGTTGCTAGCACGCGCAGCTGCTTTGCTAGCACGCTCAACTGCGTTGCTAGCACGCTCAACTGCGTTGCTAGCACGCTCAACTGCGTTGCTAGCACGCTCAACTGCGTTGCTAGCACGCTCAACTGCGTTGCTAGCACGCTCAGCAGCGTTGCTAGCACGCTCAACTGCGTTGCTAGCACGCTTAACTGCGTTGCTAGATGGCTCAGCTGCGTTGCTAGATGGCTCAGCTGCGTTGCTAGCATGCTCAGCAGCGTTGCTAGCATGGTCAGCTGCGTTGCTAGCACGCTCAGCTGCGTTGCTAGCACGCTCTGCTGCGTTGCTAGCACGCTCAACTGCGTTGCTAGCACGCTCAGCTGCGTTGCTAGCACGCTCAGCTGCGTTGCTAGCACGCTCAGCTGCGTTGCTAGCACGCTCAGCTGCGTTGCTAGCACGCTCAGCTGCGTTGCTAGCACGCTCAGCTGCGTTGCTAGCACGCTCAGCAGCGTTGCTAGCACGCTCAACTGCGTTGCTAGCACGCTCAACTGCGTTGCTAGCACGCTCAACTGCGTTGCTAGCACGCTCAGCTGCGTTGCTAGCACGCTCAGCTGCGTTTCTAGCATGCTCAGCTGCGTTGCTAGCACGCTCAGCAGCGTTGCTAGCACGCTCAGCTGCGTTGCTAGCACGCTCAGCTGCGTTGCTAGCACGCTCAACTGCGTTGCTAGCACGCTCAGCTGCGTTGCTAGCACGCTCAGCTGCGTTGCTAGCACGCTCAACTGCGTTGCTAGCACGCTCAACTGCGTTGCTAGCACGCTCAACTGCGTTGCTAGCACGCTCAGCAGCGTTGCTAGCACGCTCAGCAGCGTTGCTAGCACGCTCAGCTGCGTTGCTAGCACGCTCAGCAGCGTTGCTAGCACGCTCAGCTGCGTTGCTAGCACGCTCAGCTGCGTTGCTAGCACGCTCTGCTGCGTTGCTAGCACGCTCAGCTGCGTTGCTAGCACGCTCAGCAGCGTTGCTAGCACGCTTAGCAGCGTTGGTAGCACGCTCAGCTGCGTTGCTAGCACGCTCAGCTGCGTTGCTAGCACGCTCAGCTGCGTTGCTAGCACGCTCAGCTGCGTTGCTAGCACGCTCAACTGCGTTGCTAGCACGCTCAACTGCGTTGCTAGCACGCTCAACTGCGTTGCTAGCACGCTCAACTGCGTTGCTAGCACGCTCAGCTGCGTTGCTAGCACGCTCAGCTGCGTTGCTAGCACGCTCAGCTGCGTTGCTAGCACGCTCAGCTGCGTTGCTAGCACGCTCAGCTGCGTTGCTAGCACGCTCTGCTGCGTTGCTAGCACGCTCTGCTGCGTTGCTAGCACGCTCAACTGCGTTGCTAGCACGCTCAGCAGCGTTGCTAGCACGCTCAGCAGCGTTGCTAGCACGCTCAGCTGCGTTGCTAGCACGCTCAGCTGCGTTGCTAGCACGCTCAACTGCGTTGCTAGCACGCTCAACTGCGTTGCTAGCACGCTCAACTGCGTTGCTAGCACGCTCAGCTGCGTTGCTAGCACGCTCAACTGCGTTGCTAGCACGCTCAACTGCGTTGCTAGCACGCTCAACTGCGTTGCTAGCACGCTCAGCAGCGTTGCTAGCACGCTCAGCAGCGTTGCTAGCACGCTCAGCTGCGTTGCTAGCACGCTCTGCTGCGTTGCTAGCACGCTCAGCTGCGTTGCTAGCACGCTCAGCTGCGTTGCTAGCACGCTCAACTGCGTTGCTAGCACGCTCAACTGCGTTGCTAGCACGCTCAACTGCGTTGCTAGCACGCTCAACTGCGTTGCTAGCACGCTCAACTGCGTTGCTAGCACGCTCAGCTGCGTTGCTAGCACGCTCAGCTGCGTTGCTAGCACGCTCAGCTGCGTTGCTAGCACGCTCAACTGCGTTGCTAGCACGCTCAACTGCGTTGCTAGCACGCTCAACTGCGTTGCTAGCACGCTCAACTGCGTTGCTAGCACGCTCAGCAGCGTTGCTAGCACGCTCAGCTGCGTTGCTAGCACGCTCAGCTGCGTTGCTAGCACGCTCTGCTGCGTTGCTAGCACGCTCAGCTGCGTTGCTAGCACGCTCAACTGCGTTGCTAGCACGCTCAACTGCGTTGCTAGCACGCTCAGCTGCGTTGCTAGCACGCTCAGCTGCGTTGCTAGCACGCTCAACTGCGTTGCTAGCACGCTCAACTGCGTTGCTAGCACGCTCAACTGCGTTGCTAGCACGCTCAACTGCGTTGCTAGCACGCTCAGCAGCGTTGCTAGCACGCTCAGCAGCGTTGCTAGCACGCTCAGCTGCGTTGCTAGCACGCTCAGCTGCGTTGCTAGCACGCTCAGCTGCGTTGCTAGCACGCTCAGCTGCGTTGCTAGCACGCTCAGCTGCGTTGCTAGCACGCTCAGCTGCGTTGCTAGCACGCTCAGCAGCGTTGCTAGCACGCTCAGCAGCGTTGCTAGCACGCTCAGCTGCGTTGCTAGCACGCTCAGCTGCGTTGCTAGCACGCTCAGCTGCGTTGCTAGCACGCTCAGCTGCGTTGCTAGCACGCTCAACTGCGTTGCTAGCACGCTCAACTGCGTTGCTAGCACGCTCAACTGCGTTGCTAGCACGCTCAGCAGCGTTGCTAGCACGCTCAACTGCGTTGCTAGCACGCTCAGCTGCGTTGCTAGCACGCTCTGCTGCGTTGCTAGCACGCTCAGCTGCGTTGCTAGCACGCTCTGCTGCGTTGCTAGCACGCTCAACTGCGTTGCTAGCACGCTCAGCTGCGTTGCTAGCACGCTCAGCTGCGTTGCTAGCACGCTCAACTGCGTTGCTAGCACGCTCAACTGCGTTGCTAGCACGCTCAACTGCGTTGCTAGCACGCTCAACTGCGTTGCTAGCACGCTCAGCAGCGTTGCTAGCACGCTCAGCTGCGTTGCTAGCACGCTCAGCTGCGTTGCTAGCACGCTCAGCTGCGTTGCTAGCACGCTCAGCTGCGTTGCTAGCACGCTCAGCTGCGTTGCTAGCACGCTCAACTGCGTTGCTAGCACGCTCAACTGCGTTGCTAGCACGATAAGCTGCGTTGCTAGCACGCTCAGCTGCGTTGCTAGCACGCTCAGCTGCGTTGCTAGCACGCTCAGCTGCGTTGCTAGCACGCTCAGCTGCGTTGCTAGCACGCTCAGCTGCGTTGCTAGCATGCTCAGCAACGTTGCTAGCACGCGCAGCTGCTTTGCTAGCACGCTCAACTGCGTTGCTAGCACGCTCAACTGCGTTGCTAGCACGCTCAACTGCGTTGCTAGCACGCTCAACTGCGTTGCTAGCACGCTCAACTGCGTTGCTAGCACGCTCAGCAGCGTTGCTAGCACGCTCAACTGCGTTGCTAGCACGCTCAACTGCGTTGCTAGATGGCTCAGCTGCGTTGCTAGCACGCTCAGCTGCGTTGCTAGCACGCTCAGCTGCGTTGCTAGCACGCTCAGCTGCGTTGCTAGCACGCTCTGCTGCGTTGCTAGCACGCTCAACTGCGTTGCTAGCACGCTCAGCTGCGTTGCTAGCACGCTCAGCTGCGTTGCTAGCACGCTCAGCTGCGTTGCTAGCACGCTCAGCTGCGTTGCTAGCACGCTCAGCTGCGTTGCTAGCACGCTCAGCTGCGTTGCTAGCACGCTCAGCAGCGTTGCTAGCACGCTCAACTGCGTTGCTAGCACGCTCAACTGCGTTGCTAGCACGCTCAACTGCGTTGCTAGCACGCTCAGCAGCGTTGCTAGCACGCTCAACTGCGTTGCTAGCGTTGCTAGCACGCTCAGCTGCGTTGCTAGCACGCTCAGCAGCGTTGCTAGCACGCTCAGCTGCGTTGCTAGCACGCTCAGCTGCGTTGCTAGCACGCTCAGCTGCGTTGCTAGCACGCTCAGCTGCGTTGCTAGCACGCTCAGCTGCGTTGCTAGCACGCTCAACTGCGTTGCTAGCACGCTCAACTGCGTTGCTAGCACGCTCAACTGCGTTGCTAGCACGCTCAGCTGCGTTGCTAGCACGCTCAGCTGCGTTGCTAGCACGCTCAGCAGCGTTGCTAGCACGCTCAGCTGCGTTGCTAGCACGCTCAGCTGCGTTGCTAGCACGCTCAGCTGCGTTGCTAGCACGCTCAACTGCGTTGCTAGCACGCTCAGCTGCGTTGCTAGCACGCTCAGCTGCGTTGCTAGCACGCTCAACTGCGTTGCTAGCACGCTCAACTGCGTTGCTAGCACGCTCAACTGCGTTGCTAGCACGCTCAACTGCGTTGCTAGCACGCTCAGCAGCGTTGCTAGCACGCTCAGCTGCGTTGCTAGCACGCTCAGCTGCGTTGCTAGCACGCTCAGCTGCGTTGCTAGCACGCTCAGCTGCGTTGCTAGCACGCTCAGCTGCGTTGCTAGCACGCTCAGCAGCGTTGCTAGCACGCTCAGCTGCGTTGCTAGCACGCTCAGCTGCGTTGCTAGCACGCTCAGCTGCGTTGCTAGCACGCTCAGCTGCGTTGCTAGCACGCTCAGCTGCGTTGCTAGCACGCTCAACTGCGTTGCTAGCACGCTCAACTGCGTTGCTAGCACGCTCAACTGCGTTGCTAGCACGCTCAACTGCGTTGCTAGCACGCTCAACTGCGTTGCTAGCACGCTCAGCAGCGTTGCTAGCACGCTCAACTGCGTTGCTAGCACGCTCAGCTGCGTTGCTAGCACGCTCTGCTGCGTTGCTAGCACGCTCAGCTGCGTTGCTAGCACGCTCTGCTGCGTTGCTAGCACGCTCAACTGCGTTGCTAGCACGCTCAGCTGCGTTGCTAGCACGCTCAACTGCGTTGCTAGCACGCTCAACTGCGTTGCTAGCACGCTCAACTGCGTTGCTAGCACGCTCAACTGCGTTGCTAGCACGCTCAGCTGCGTTGCTAGCACGCTCAGCTGCGTTGCTAGCACGCTCAGCTGCGTTGCTAGCACGCTCAGCTGCGTTGCTAGCACGCTCAGCTGCGTTGCTAGCATGCTCAGCAACGTTGCTAGCACGCGCAGCTGCTTTGCTAGCACGCTCAACTGCGTTGCTAGCACGCTCAACTGCGTTGCTAGCACGCTCAACTGCGTTGCTAGCACGCTCAACTGCGTTGCTAGCACGCTCAACTGCGTTGCTAGCACGCTCAGCAGCGTTGCTAGCACGCTCAACTGCGTTGCTAGCACGCTCAACTGCGTTGCTAGATGGCTCAGCTGCGTTGCTAGCACGCTCAGCTGCGTTGCTAGCACGCTCAGCTGCGTTGCTAGCACGCTCAGCTGCGTTGCTAGCACGCTCTGCTGCGTTGCTAGCACGCTCAACTGCGTTGCTAGCACGCTCAGCTGCGTTGCTAGCACGCTCAGCTGCGTTGCTAGCACGCTCAGCTGCGTTGCTAGCACGCTCAGCTGCGTTGCTAGCACGCTCAGCTGCGTTGCTAGCACGCTCAGCTGCGTTGCTAGCACGCTCAGCTGCGTTGCTAGCACGCTCAGCAGCGTTGCTAGCACGCTCAACTGCGTTGCTAGCACGCTCAACTGCGTTGCTAGCACGCTCAACTGCGTTGCTAGCACGCTCAGCAGCGTTGCTAGCACGCTCAGCTGCGTTGCTAGCACGCTCAGCTGCGTTGCTAGCACGCTCAACTGCGTTGCTAGCACGCTCAGCTGCGTTGCTAGCACGCTCAACTGCGTTGCTAGCACGCTCAACTGCGTTGCTAGCACGCTCAACTGCGTTGCTAGCACGCTCAACTGCGTTGCTAGCACGCTCAGCTGCGTTGCTAGCACGCTCACAGGATGGGATGGGATGGGATTGGATGGATGGGATAGGGTGGGATATGGAATGGGGGATGTCCCATTCTGTGACATTTGATGCGCATCTGTCCGTTTCACATGTGTGTTCCTGTTCATATCGTTTCTCGCAACTCCTCACCTCTAACATACACGCCCGCACATTCCTTGCTTCCCTTGTCACCGCATCAGCGCATCAGCATCAGCGCATCAGCATCAGCATCAGCATCAGCGCATCAGCATCAGCATCATCAGCATCAGCATCAGCATCAGCGCATCAGCATCAGCATCTTCATCAGCGCATCAGCATCAGCATCAGCATCAGCATCAGCGCATCAGCATCAGCATCAGCATCAGCGCATCAGCATCAGCATCAGCATCAGCATCAGCATCAGCATCAGCGCATCAGCATCAGCATCAGCATCAGCGTCAGCATCAGCATCAGCATCAGCGCATCAGCATCAGCATCAGCATCAGCGCATCAGCGCATCAGCATCAGCATCAGCGCATCAGCGCATCAGCATCAGCATCAGCATCAGCATCAGCGCATCAGCATCAGCATCAGCATCAGCGCATCAGCATCAGCATCAGCATCAGCATCTGCATCAGCATCAGCATCAGCGCATCAGCATCAGCATCAGCGCATCAGCATCAGCATCAGCATCAGCATCAGCGCATCAGCATCAGCATCAGCATCAGCGCATCAGCATCAGCATCAGCATCAGCATCTGCATCAGCATCAGCGCATCAGCATCAGCATCAGCATCAGCATCAGCATCAGCGCATCAGCATCAGCATCAGCATCAGCAACAGCATCAGCAACAGCATCAGCATCAGCATCAGCATCAGCGTCAGCATCAGCATCAGCGTCAGCATCAGCGTCAGTGTCAGCATCAGCAACAGCATCAGCAACAGCATCAGCAACAGCATCAGCAACAGCATCAGCATCAGCATCAGCAACAGCATCAGCAACAGCATCAGCAACAGCATCAGCAACAGCATCAGCATCAGCATCAGCATCAGCGTCAGCATCAGCATCAGCGTCAGCATCAGCATCAGCATCAGCATCAGCATCAGCATCAGCGTCAGTGTCAGCCTCAGCATCACGGTCGCCATCCCCATCCTCATCCCCATTGGCGCTGATGCTGGTGGAGGAGGTGATCCTCATCCTCATCCTTCCCCTCTCCCACATCCCCTCTCCCACATTCCCTCTCCCACATCCACACTCCCACATTCCCTCTCCCACATCCCCTCTCCCACATTCCCTCTCCCACATCCCCTCTCCCACATCTCCTCTCCCACATTCCCTCTCCCACATCCCCTCTCCCACATCCCCTCTCCCACATCCCCTCTCCCACATTCCCTCTCCCACATCCCCTCTCCCACATCCCCTCTCCCACATCCCCTCTCCCACATCCCCTCTCCCACATCCCCCTCCCACATCCCCTCTCCCACATCCCCTCTCCGACATCCCTTCTCCCACATTCCCTCTCCCTCATCCCTTCTCCCACATCCCCTCTCCCACATCCCTTCTCCCACATTCCCTCTCCCACATCCCTTCTCCCACATCCCTTCTCCCTCATCCCCTCTCCCTCAGCAGCAGCAGGCTTGTGAGACGGAGTGAAGTGGTACAAGCTTTGCTGTCCTGCACGCGTCGTCCATTATGGTTAGGAGGGAGTTGATTTTCCCTAGGCAGGAAAAGGCTGGCATGGCAGTTGGCTGGACCGGACGGGACTGTAGCAAGATGCTGGTACTGTAGCTGAGAGTGTAGACTAGGGTTGTTACGGCTTGTCTAAGATGGCATGAGAAACCGATTGATTCCATGCACATCAGGCAATCAGGCCTCACGAGAGATGTTGGGTTGGAGCAGCATCTGCTGCCCCCCCCCCCCCCCCCATCCCCCATGTTCATGTGAGTGCGTGCTGCCCCTCCGCATCCCAAGCTGTGCCTTGCCATGCCTTGCGCCGCTCCTCCCTTCTCTTCCTCTACCGACCTGCTTCTCTCCCTTGACTCTCATCGGCGACTCTTGTCTCTTCCTCCCGGTACTTTTACGTCTACACTATGACGCAGGAAGAGTGAAGATGGAGGCTCATTGTGGACGGGGTAACGAACAAGGCAGAGAGGCTTTCAGAGAAACGCGTGTGAGAGCGGGACAGTCTCGAAGCAGCCTGAGTGAGACCCGTCTCGAATATCCGACAGTTCTAACAAAGGAAGTGCATTCCGGGGGCAGTCGAAGCAGGTAGGTCACGAGGTATTGAGTTTGTCATGTTGGAACGGGAGAGGACGAGCTTCTGAGTGTGCATGTGTTCCCAAGGTGTGGTACGAGGATACCGACCTTGTCTTGCCTGAATCCTGAAGCCATTGAAACTGCAGCAGTGGCTCGATTTTTTCTCTGGGTTTGAGAATCACCCGTCTGACACCAGACTTCACATCAGTGCTTCTGCATAAGGGGCCTTGCAACACGATTAGAGGAGTTGCCGCAAGGAATTGAAAGTTTTTTTGGGTTGCGAAGCAACCTATTGCATTCGTTATGTACAATTTTTTTTTCATTGCCTATAACTGAAAAAAAAAAAAAAAAAAGATGTAAATCTAGTGAATGATAGCCTAAATGTTTTCTAATCATTTGCGGTAACAGCTCAAGACGATGTGTGGTAGTATATTCTTTTTATTTTTATAACTTGCTCTGGCTCTTCATATAGATGAATTTAGTGGAAAAATGATAATATGGTAAGCATGCGGCTGTTTATTCCGTAATGCATACGCAGAAGTATTCTGCCATGCATAAATAAAACTGGCATGCAGACGGTACGATGGATATAGTAAACGAAACATGGAATGGAAATGCATAGATATGATTCATATGATGTATCGGTATGCGTAGTATGTACTTATATATACTATACCAATCATAGGAATGCGTAATCCGTAATGCATACGCATAAGTATTCTGCCGTGCATAAATAGAACTGACATGCAGACGGTACGATGGATATAGTTGTCAGAATCACTAGGCAAGAATGAACGAAAGGAGAGGGGTTGAACTAGCAGGCAGTTGAGTACAAATAGCAAACCCTAGATTGGGCTGTACTCGCTATAGAGTACCCCACTGCAGGCTAGACAATAATAGCATTCTGACACACCCCCATAGCCAAAGTGGGGTGTAATCAGCAGAGCAAGCAAAGCAGTACAAGCTCAGGGTGGATCACAATGTCACCACACATTCTGAGCACAAGTTCAAGAAGCAATAGTTTAAAGTTCACAGTTATGAGCAAAGCTAGAGGCAGTCACAGAGGGCAAGCGAGGAGGAGGAGGGCTGGCGAGAGGAGAGAAGATGAAAGGCGCCGACTGAAGCTGCAGACACACGGGCAACAGGAGCGGCGCGCACAGTGGCTACCGAGCGCACGAGGGCACCGGACTACGGGAGTATCTGGCTCCGCGGCTACGACGAGCACACACAGGAGCAACGGACCCACAGGCGACTGGCGAAGCAGGCTCGCTGGGCTACCGAAACGCGCGAGGGCATCCGGACTACTGGCGCTGCTGGCGTCACGACGGCTACCTCCACGCAATCTCCCCCGACCGTCCCACGCCCCTCTCACACACCCCCTGCTGACACCCTAGCTCCACTCCGACGGTACCCCCCTTAAACCCCAAACCCTAGGCTCCCACACACCACCCCCCTCAGCGGCAGCTGTAGCAGAGGGAGACGAGGGAGGAGGAGGAGCAGGGGGAGGAACTCACAACCGACACCCCCATAGCCGCCACCCCCACACTCTTCACCCCCAAACCCTAATTTAGGAGAACGGGCTGTAGGAGGGGTGAGGCGCCGGTAGAAGCACGGGGGACAGTGGAGAGGGCAGGAGCAGCGAGGAACGGGCCGCCCACGGGCCTGGTAGAGCCGCCCGAACCGCGCGCAGGCGGCCCGAGCCGCGCGCGGGCCTGGCGCTTCCCGTACGGGCCGCGCGCGTGCCTGGCGCAGCCCGTACGGGCCGCGCGCGGGCCTGGCGCAGCCCGTACGGGCCGCGCGCGGGCCTGGCGCAGCCCGTACGGGCCGCGCGCAGGCCTGGCGCAGCCCGTACGGGCCGCGTGCCGGGTGTACGGGCCGCGCGCAGGCCACGACGGGCGACGGGGGGCGACGCGCGGGTCCCCGTCGCCCGTCGCAGCGCCTCCCGGGGGCGACGTGCCGAGTGACGGGGCAGGAACCCGCCGCGCGCCTCGGGGCACACGGCGGGCAGAGAACCGCCGCGCGCCTCGGGGCGCACGGCGGGCAGAAAACCGCCGCGTGCCTCGGGGCGCACGGCGGGCTGAAAACCCTAGTTTCGACGCCGCGCGCCACGGGGCGCGCGGCGGACAGGGAGTAGCAGTAGCAGTAGCAGTAGCAGCGGAAGGCTTAGGTGGTGGGCCCACCCACAGGATCGACCCAGGAGGGTCGACCTGCTCTGATAGCATGTCAGAATCACTAGGCAAGAATGAACGAAAGGAGAGGGGTTGAACTAGCAGGCAGTTGAGTACAAATAGCAAACCCTAGATTGGGCTGTACTCGCTATAGAGTACCCCACTGCAGGCTAGACAATAATAGCATTCTGACAATAGTAAACGAAACATGGAATGGAAATGCATAAATATGATGCATATGCTGTAATGATATGCATAGTATATACTTATATGTACAATACCAATCATGTAAATGCGTATTATGATGAAAATGCGTGATAGTTGATTGACCCATACACTATGCTACCGCATCCCCTGCCTAGCATGGGGGGGAAGTCAATAGCCTAGCGTTTGAATCATCCGACTGCCACATGAAATAACACAATCTGTGTGATCTAAAAAAAAGGTCAATTCCATCAAATCCAGTTCAAATGAACACACTCACTGAGTGGGCAAAGAACCTTCTCGGAAATGATGGTTTGATCCTAATTTTTAAAACCCACAGACATGCGTTATTAATGCAACGCACATACGCACACAAGACAACGCATACCCACACCAATTAAAGAAACAGTGACCTATTAACACATGTCATCCCTCTCACACTCATTGTTCTCACGCTCGCGTAAGTCTGCACTCGTTTTCATAATCTGTTCAAATGTATAATAATTAACTCATTGAAATTAACTTCATAAACCCCTGTGAGCATCTTCTCCGTTGTTCCAAATCGCTCAAGCTTCACCATTGCTGCAAAAAAAAAAGGAGCAATTTCCAAATATTTAAAAAATGATATACATCAATCAAATTACAATTACGATGAGTACATATACATAATCACAATAAAAAACGTGCTCACGTCATGTCTCCTTTTGGCGGGTGTTGACGAAATCGGTGTGCTCGATGTGTCAAAGCTCGCCGGAGCGTCGCTCGACTGCGTGATCGTCGAGATGTCCAAGATGGTCTTGCTCACGCGTTCTCCTTCTGGACGGAAATGGACCTTCAATAACAATGAAAGGTACATACATAATAACTTGAGTTAGAGAACTATCAACACCATCCAAAAAAAGCATACTAAAGTGCACATTTACAAGTACACAAAAATGTTAATAAAGATATTAAAAACCACAACTGAATTCCCATACCTTCACATGCCACTGGCCTTGAAGCGCGCCCAATGCATCTTGCCGCTCGCCCAATGTCATGGAGTAGAAATTCGAAACCTGAAAACTTGGGAACAGTCGTCCCAAGATTTCAGGCTGAATCTCCAATCCCTGAGCCTGCGTCGTGAACGAATCTGAGAATGAAACACACATAAAATAATATTAAAACAATGCGAATGTATTAAAACAATGTGGAAAATATAGGAGAAACCAAAACAGAAATGATAGACATGATGCTTACCACTCTCGTGAACAACGACAGTCGCTGTCACGTTATCAAACGCGCGGACTGATGTCGCTTTGTGGACGCGACATCTGTGGACCCCCGAAGCCGCGGAGGTGAAAACAGGCATTCCGCAAATGGAATCTCCTGCACCAGCAGCGCAGACAACTCGACTGTCGTGCACTGGGTCTCTGAGGTCTGCTGCAAGTGTTGCTATCTTCTCTTCGTTTGTTACCATCACCAATGTGTCCACATGAGACATCCTGATCATTCAAAACAAAAAATTGCTAATGAAATTCATGTTCGCTACTAACAGCTCAATTGTGCAAATTTTGATAACTTACAAGCTCACAAGACCAACGTCTTGTAGCTCGGTGACGGGTGCATCCGTTGTGACGGATGCTGGAACAGGATCGAGAATGACAATGTCCGAAGGCACTGTCGTCGTAAAAGCTGCTGATTTGAGATACACGTTGCTGATGAAGACAGGAACATCGCTAGCATCGGGGTGATCTGCAAAATAACTCTCACAGCTGGAGTTGAACCTGATGGCGGCATCCCCGAGCGCTATCAAAGCGCTCTTCATCGTTGAATCATGGATGCCAGCCGTGAACTTAGGGAGCGCGCGGTTCGGCTCGAAAGACGAGATCTTGAGCCTGACAGAAATGCAAGGGATCTGGAAATAACGGAGATGAATGATACAACAGAAATGAATACATAGAACACATGCAGAGAGACGTACCATGAGAGACGTACAATGTGTGGCATAAATGAATTGGGATAGAATAGGGGCAAAAATGTGAATCACAAATTATAAAAGTAAATGACAACTACAATTTGACAATCATACGTAAAAAGACGTAACAAATGTCGTCGTAATTCTTACCCTAGACTTATCCTCAGCACCATAGAAGCTCAAAAGCGTGGGAGTAGGCAAGTTTCCCACGTTCAGCCGAGGAGACCCGCTGGCCTCGATCAGATGTGAGCACCGATGCTTCCAGTTGAGTTGCGTGCGAAGACCTCCAACCAGAATCCTGTACGTATTCAGTGCATAAGTTGTAAAACCAACACGTGTCGAATCACATAGACAAGTCCAGACAAAGCTTACCAGGTGGGGGGTGCGCGAGCACCGACGGTGCGATGGACTTCATAGACTTTCCCAATGGAAAGCCTCATCAAGAAATCATTCACAGCATCCACATCACATCGACCAGACCCCCTGGATTGTGGCCAGATCACCACCTCTGTCACACTGAAATCCTCATAAAAAACATAAAACTTTCCAGGAAC